AAATCTACAGAGTTTTCAAATTTTTATCTTAGTCGTAAGATTTTTTTTTCTTTTGAAAAGGGCAACAGTCCTGTGTATTTTTGTTTGTTTTTAATTTACTATTATTTTGGCATCAATAAATTATATTCTAAATATATACTTAAGAAATAAATAACAAGTTTAAAAACTTCTCTGGGAAATGAAGTGGGTCGGTCACGTGATCAAATCCTGTGAAGGCCGATGGCCTTCTCGGAAGATTTGATCACGTACCGACCCACTTCATTTCCCAGTGAAGTTTTTAAACTTGTTATTTATTACTTATATATACATTTGAGACGGACAATCGAATATAAATATTGCACTAACTGTTCGTCGTAGATTTTGACAAATTACGCAAGGTGTAAATCGGCTTGAAAAGCGGTTACGCTTCAAATTCATCTGGCAAAGGATTCTGTTTTGAAGTGAATATTCTGTGAAAGACTACTTGTGATCAATTATAGTGAGCATATTGGTGTCTGGGAATTTTTGTATTCGTGAGAACCCATATTCGATGTTTAAAAAAACACAAGAAACACGTCCGATGTTTGATAATAAAAAGTTAACTTGGAATCAAGTTTAAAATTTGATCAGAAACATAAAATCTACGATTAAAATAAGGCATATTTATTATGATGTTGACACGGAGACACATGCGGCAGCTTACATTGTTAAGCATGTTAAGACAACGATCTCGATGATGGAGGTGTGCTTACCGAACTTCCGAAGTGCAGTGTTTGTGCATTACATTGATATTTTCCAACAGATTTTCAAATTTATTGTGAGTAAAGTTTAATGAAAAAAATATAGCATTTTGAGGTCTACAAGAAAAATAAGGGTAAACGTTGAGACTATTCAGCTCAGACATGAAATTTATAACACGTAGTTTTCTATTCTCTATGTAAAATCGATCAAGAACTGTATTAATTACTCGTAAATAAAATGATTATTATTTTACTTGGGTATTTTGTACATTTTTATGCATGAAAAACATGCTATATTGCTAAGTAGAGTAAGTCTTCTTATGTAGATATTACTGCACTGTGTGATTAGGTCACGTAATGACCTATGACCTTCGAAAAACGACATACAGGTATGAAGATATTTTCTCTCTGTATGTTTATATAATAGAGAGATACCACAAATGTATTTTTTATACCTTTTAAAAATTTGTACCTATATAAATCTATACTAATAAAAGTCTAAGATTTCCAATGTTTTACTGAGCGGGCATAAAAAATTGATGTTTGACCGCGGAGTGAGATATTGGACCTGTCGATGAGATGTTGGACCGCTTACGTCACATAATGGGCGGGGTCAGCTAAATCTCATTTGCATTCGTTGGTGGTCGACATACATGTATGTCCAAAAAAAAAGATAAAATATATAAATAAAAGGTATAACAAAACATTTATTGACTGTGTTCTTGGGCAAAATGCGTTTTGTCGACCCCTCGAACCAAACTGTTTGCCTTCGGCCTTACGGCCTCGGGCAAACAGTTTGGTTCTTGGGTCCGACAAAACGCATGTTGTCCTCGAACCCAGTCAATAAATGTATAATATTAAATTATGAAGTTTACCAAGCCATTACAATATACCTAACATCAAATTACAATATCCCTGATATTTAATTATAATACAGCTAACATCTATTTATAACATTCTTCCCATCTAATTATAATATACCTATTTTACTAATTAGATAACAATTAGATTTTAGGAAAAAAATAATTAGAAGTTAGGTATATTATAATTATCTGATTATAATATACTTAACATCTAATTAAAAGTTACCCAAATTCTAGTCTCCAGCGTGCCGCATTGGCTAGAGCATTTACTCTAGAGTAAGGAGTTGTATCATGTTGTAAATTTTGAATTTACTAGGGGGAGGTAAATGCAAAATTTACATCATGTTGTAAATTTTGCATTTACCTCCCCCTAGTAAATTCAAAATTTACAACATGATAGTTGATCCCTTTGTCGCGGATTCGAATCTCACTGCGGGACTTGGAGACCGGTCCTACGTGGAGACCGGTCCTTCGGAAGACACCGTATTAACCGAGGTCCCGTATCGCAGTAGGTACTGACACGAAAAAGATCCCTCATGCACTGCTCAATTGCTCTCAGCACTGAGTATAAGTCTAAATTTTCAGCCTTCCATCGGTAAGTGGTGGCGTCTCAATATGAGTGAAAAATTCTCAAAAGGGACGTTAAATAAACAACCAGAACAAAAAATCTAATCATAATATACCTAACTTTTAATTACAATATAACATCTAATTATGATATACTTAATATCTTATTATTTTGATGAATGTGATTATGTGCTAATTACCTATACATAGCGTGTCTTAGGATTAATTAATCACATCTTTATATTTTTATATAAAAATGTAACAAAATCGGCTAAAATCAGCATTTTATCTTAAACAAATCAATAGAATAAGAACATCTTAGTAATATTTTATGATGAGGCCCATAAGCCACAACGCTCACCTGAGTCACATTTCTTTAAATCTTTAATGATTTCTAGAGTTTTAATTCCTGCTACTTGAATGTGCATATTGGGAATGCTTTTATATCAGTATCCCTGCTATTCTGCAAAACAGTGTGTTTACATTTTTTCTGTTGGATCTGTTAAAACTTTGTTTCCTTTTTACTTCCACACAATATTGGGGGATCAAGATTTGAACGAAACAGAATCTACACAACATGAGGAATCTAACTACTGGTTTCTCTGTTGAGATAATTTTTTATTCTATTAAATTCCTAGGAAAAATGTTAACCCGCGAAATATTAATTTAGAGTCATGATTTTATCAAATTTGATTCGAATACAACATCAGGATCAAATCTAGCTAATTATGGTCCTTTTTTCTGAGGATGAAAAAAAAAAAGAAAAATCTTATAAGAAACTTTGATCCTTACTGTGGCTCCGTCCTTATGGTTTGTACAAAGGTAATTCTACACTACATGAGAATGTCACATTGTTATGTGATATATTGTGATTTCGCAGTTCTTTTTAAGAGTACAAATTATAAACTTTTCCTATATATCCCTTTGTACATTGTAAAACTTTTTATGTTTAACTGTGATCCCATACAGCTAAAAGTGTTTAAACGATGTTTACATGTCATTTATTTCACTACTTATTATTATGGCATTTAATTAAAAAGGACGTCACTCTTTATTTCAAGAAATTTAAATCCCTTCGATTCTAAAATTCTCTGTGTTAACTTTGGTTTAAATTGACTAAGCGGTTCATGAGAAGCGGTACCAAATTTGAAGGTTTTGAAAAGAACAACTAATCTTAGCTTCCTGCTCAGGTGAGCCAAATATTTGAACCCATTTCCAAAACTTCCTGGTACATGTAGCTATGTCCATTATAGAGAGATCTGTTATCGAAGAGCCTTTTATACCTCCCCATAGAGGAGAACAAAAGACATTTAAAAGAAGATATCTTAACTTGGGGAGGAATAATTCTAAAACACATCTGTCATTCAAAATGTCTGAGAGAACGAATCATTTACATAATGACAAACACAGATCATAATCACACCCCTTGTGTCGTTTGTACTTGAACTTATTACATGGTCTAGAGTGAAAATGTCCAATTTGAATTCGTTCGTTGAAACGAAACAATAAAACTTTGCAAAATACAATCACATATGACTGAAACCATGCGTTTTTTAAAGGTAATTTTGTTGTTGAATGCTCCTCATATATTCATTTTTTTAATTTACTTTGTTTTCAATATGTATGTTTTTTGTCTCGCTCGATTTGAAAAACCTTTTCTTCATTATATGACTATCTCTGAGAGTTCAAAGATGATAAAAGTTTTTATTTCGTTTGTTTGTTTAATGTTCCTTCGAGAATTTTTCACTCATATTGAAACGCCACCACTTGACGATGGAGGGCTGCAAATTTAGACCTGTACTCGGCACTTACGGCAGTGATGGATCTTTTATACTGCGAGACGGGGTCTCGGTTTCTAAGGTCTCATCGGAAGGATGGATTCGAATCAGCGATGTAAGAATCAACTCCTTACTCCGCGACTCTAGAGCGAACGCTCTGACCACTGCGCCACTCTAGTGATTATTTTGTTGTATGTCCTGTATGTATAATGTCAAACAAGGATATCTGACCGAGGTTCATAAGAAAAATGTTTAACTAATACAAATACTTAACTTTGTCTCATATTTGTTTGTTTAAATGGACTTTTGAGCATGTTCACCGTTCGTTACTTTCTCATTTTTCAGGCACTCACCTTGCAATATCATCAATAGGTTGTCATGTATTTACAACATACGTAGTTCCTGATGACAAGATTTGTCTGACAAGTTCGGACATAGATGCTATTTCTTCTGTGTATATAAATGATGATCTCAAGTTGGTCTCATCTGAAGGAAGTCCTGTGTTATTGTCAACAAAGCCATGTTCTTGTCCTGGATCGCTTTATATCCATGGTAACTGAAAATTCATTATGAGAAACAAAGAGAGAGAGAATTAAAGGGAATTTGTTTAAAAAAACACATGTATAAATTGTAATTATTTTATTTTCAGACACTATGCCAGGACTTTACAATCAGAAATTTGTAGATCTCCGTCCTTCAGGTCAACTTGGGACATTCAACTGTGGAGATTTTTACCTTATTTCTTTCAAGTATTTAAGATACTTCATGAATACCAACAATGTTGACTTCTGCCTAGGTAAAATAAAGCAAATTGTTGTTGATATTGTTGTTAATATCTGGAAACTATTTATAATTCTCCAAAATAAATTTTGATTACTTATAATCAATGTAATTTATTTTACAGATGTGAATACTAGGATATCTTGCAAGACTCTTGATACAACTGGAACCAATATAGGTAGATTCTTTAAGAATTAATTGTTTGGCATGTTTGCACGAATATAAACTCTCTCTCTCTCTCTCTCTCTCTCTCTCTCTCTTTACAGACAGCAGTTTAAAATCGTGCTCAGAGGTCCAGCCCGTCTTAATGGAATCAAAAGACGGCAGACAGTTGGAGCCAGTGTTTCTGTGCCTCTTTCCTCCGTTAGCTGATGACGTAGTATATGACGTATCATGGTTCATCAATGACGAGGAATTGTCCTGGGCGGTATCTACTTTTGTATCGTACCCTGACATAAACTCTACTGCTCTCAGACCCTCCAACTGGACCGGAAATTACTCACTAAATTTCGAAGTAGGCCTAAATTTGGTATTTTTATAGATTTGCTATTGGGTTAAACTATTGGTTTACAAATGTATACGCCATTATGATTTGTAATGCTAACGTTATGTAATTTTTTAATAAAGAGAAGTTCAGTTATGAAACGTACGTACGCTTTTCAATATGTGGATCGGATAGTAGTGTAATACAAAATAATGCATGTTTTCATTTTTATCTTTTTAAAAGCACATTAATTACTAAATTTTCTGTCATTTTTTAGGTTGCTTGTGCAGTAAAAGCATATAATCCGTCCACATCTGTTTCTGGTCCAATTTATAGAAGCCCAAAGTTCTTTGCTGGGATTAAGGTACATATGTGATACATTAATAGTTCAAATCTAAAGTTCAAACTTATCTATAACTAGATAGTTATAGATAAGTTTAAACTTTAGATTTAAACTTTTAATGTAACATATGGACTATACATACTGTGAACCAACTTTTATCATTAACTCTTACTTTCTTACATTCGCAAATTTATCTCTTGGAAGATGAGTTACATAATTTTGAAGTTTACAAAAAAAGGATAATCTGTCGTGAAAATGAATACTCAGTAGTCGATAAAAGGGTTTTCTACGCTTTTCGCCACTAATTGTTGGTATTTCAGTATTTATCAATATGTCACAGCCGTAATTATTTGCTACTCCTTTTTTATAACAAGGAAAACAGCTGTTGGGTTCGATATATCTATTTTAATTTCATGGTAAGACTAAAAAGGTGACCTGTAACAATAACAGTAATGAAAATAAATGAATACTCTCTCATACTTATACACTCACACATTAAATTATTTTAATATATTTTAGCTATTCTGTTCTAACTATCTTTAAGTGGATAATTATTTTATAATGTATTTAATAATACAAAGCAACGGTGGTAAAAAATTTTACCGAATAGATATTTAAATTGTCCACATTATGAAATGATAGACCTTATGGAGAAGGAGAGGAATTCTTCCTTACTCCTGGCTGTCCTAGGGTGGAATGAATTAGTTAGGGTATTTGGCGCCAAGCATGCGCACCTGATACCAAACTAGTAAAACCACTCACACACTCCTAAATCCACCAATGAGCATTCAAACCCATGAATATGAATGAGATATTTTATGAATGAACACATATTAAATTCCAGAGGACTGTAATTCACCATGCTTTATAGATGAAAATGATGATGAACATAATGAAATGATGATTAGTTATTAGGTCATTAAATATTCAATCATATATAATATTTATTGGAATAATAATTTATTATTAATTTATAAATTATTGTATTTAATAGGTAAAATTACATTTGACTCAAAAAAATTCAAGATTGCATAGTGTTTGATAATACTTGAAATATTATAGTGTGAAGTTATAGCATACCCATAATGGCATCTAAGACCCGTATCTAAAGGAACTTTCTTTACCAACTTCTTTATTTCTATTACCTGATAGCCAGAACAGAAACAGTATTACGTTAGCGAGGGAATTACATCACAGATTAAACTCAGCAGCACTATGCCGTTCAGTTGTCCATTATCCTTAAGTGAAGAAATGCGAGAGGCGTTTTGTACGTATTACTTCTTTGTTTGGACACCATCAGAGGATAGCTGTAGGAATGGGATGGCTAGCAATGGGATAGCACTGACTAACCAGCCCTGTGGGGTGACGTTTAACTTTAGAGACTGGGGCAATAGAAGTGTACATATAAATGTGACAGGTTATGTAGATGGCATGATTAACTACAATGACAGGACTACATATCTACACATAGCGTCAACAAGGAATCCCATGGATCCGTTGGGAATATGGGACAATCTAAATGTTGAAGGAATTGCGGTAACCTATTTGTTTCATCAACACTTTGAATTATTTAGCAAGCCTTCATATTCGTCAACCGTTTATGCCCATTATCATTATCTCTCGTAGGTTAAAGTGGGTGACCGAGATATATTGGTGATCGGTCGTCAGTGTATATCCTCAAACGACCCACATATGACGACATTTGATGGGAAACGTTGGGAAAACCAGAGAACTGGAACATTTGTTCTATATCAGCACAAAATATTACCGTATACAGTAAATTTTACGGTGTCTTCAGAGAACATAATTGTATTATTCGGTGCAATGTTGTTATGATACACAGTAGTTCTAACATGGTTATATGGTACCATTTAACATTTTAAATTACGCTATTGTATCCGCGATTTAATTCCATAATTATCTAGATGTTTGTGAACTGTAAACGTTCTGCGCAGGTACTCACTCAGACAATGTTTGCAATTTAAAAAATGATCACATCTTTATCTGTTTATTGTTAACAGGTCCATGTTATTTATTCTGAATGTATGCCATGGCGCGCCACTTGCAACTGTGGAGTAGCAATCAGAAATGGGTTTAGCTATTACATCGTCAGGACCTGTGAAATAATTTCGTTACAAAGTACCAAATTGCTCTCAGTTCCTTATGAGAAAGAGCACCTCTGCGAAGCTACCGACCTCAAAATCGTAAAAATTGGAAAGTATTACACTGTAAGTGAAGAGTCTGTTTATGAAAAACTAGAGTTTTTATATATTTTATAATTTCAAAGTCTCTGATGTGATTAAGCAATGATCACTGACCTTTTTCACCAAAAGGTAACCCTCCCATCTGGAACACAAGTATCGTTCTACATCTCATCTTGGAATAACTTTATCGGGAGTGTGAGGATCCGAGCTTCTGTGTCAGACATTGAGTCGTCCCTAGGTTTGTGTGGATTTACTAATGGCGATACATCTGATGATTTCATCCCAAAAGACGCCAGCCATCCCACTGACTCCAGCACATTTGCACTGTCATGGCGGTAAATACAGAACAATGTTTGCTTTGATTAACCGACATTTCCTGATGTCATTTTCATCCAGATGATTTCAGGTACAAAGAAATATATTTCTTTTGTAGAATTTCAATGGATTCCAAAGACAGTCTATTTTCAAAGTCCTCTTCAATTTTAGAGGACACGTCATGGATGTACGTATATAATATTGGTAGATCTATAGAATTTTCATTGAGAACGCACTTTTCTTGTCAAATACACATTCTACATCTTTCCATTTAAGGTATAGAGTTGACATGCAACCAGAATCTAGGGAGACCTACTGCACATGCGCTCAGAATGGACCAGTAGATACTTACCAGTTTTCCTTACCAAATGCAGTTCATTGTAATATGACGTCACCAAGTCAATTATGCGAGGGAGGTAACTCTGTTAATACGTTGAATTTATGTTCAAATTCAGATGATCGCAAAAGAAGGTCAACAGACGATACAGATAATGTGGATATAGAAAGTGAATTAATATACGATACAGATTACAACGAATCTGCTGTTATAGAGGTACTTATATTTGACCACGAACAAATACAAAACATTTATTTTAATACACATACATTTTACAAAACACTTATTTTGATACAAAACAAATCAAGATTAAAAAAAAAACTGAATCTTTTACATATCAAACAATCTATGCGTTTTGTTGATATGTTGAAGGTTGCACAGTGGATGAATGGCTGGGATGAAACATCGGCGACAGAATTTTGTTCGAAACAATTTGACCTTGACTCCGCTGTAGATGTTTGTAACAGACTGGTCAACATCAGCAAAATACTCTTTCTTGATGAATGTGTTGCAGATATAAAGGTATAATTTAATGTGGTAATGAAAATAGTTTATAATTTGGGAATCTGTTAATTTTGAAATTTAAAATAAAGTGGGGTTTTTTTTGTGAAAGAATTATACATATGTTTGTTTTTTTTTCTATGACATTTTTATTACATTTAAGATTTCTGGAAATACGACTTTTATACAAGACACTTTAAAAACACTGAAAGGTTCTTGTCTGACAGAAGCAACGAGAAACGAAGTTTTTTACGTTAACCAATCGTCTGATGCAAGTGGACTGACTCTATTTGATTACATTTCATCATTTTTATGTCCCGGCAATTGTTCCGGAAATGGACTGTGCGTGAATGGTATTTTCTATCTGAGAATCCAGTATGAACAGAATATATTATATATAAAGTATACTGAAATAGAATTGATATTTAAAGGAAATTTAAACTAAATTCTCAAGTAACGATCCATCTTAATTCGGGATTTTTGGTTTTTAGTCTACTCTCAATATGCATCATGTTGTTTTTAAAATCGCAGCATTTCTTATAAATACGAATAAAATAATTTGGTAAGAGTTCGTAAAGTAATAGGGAACTTTATTTGGAGATTTTTGTTTTAGCCACATGCTCGTGTTTCGATGGTTTTCTTGGTACCGATTGTTCCGGAAAACTCTCTGTCCCCCCAAAAGATTTTCTACTACCGTTAAATGGATTATGTGATATCAGTTCCAGGGAGTGTCTCAAAACAAACATCATGGGATTTTTTGACGTGGAAAATGTTACAGCAAAGTTTGAATACTTCAAGGTAAGAAGAAATTATGCATGGCGATAACTCTGTCTTGTTACATTTTGCATTCACACGATTTATAATCTATCAACAGGTAAAGAGTAATGAAATCCAGAAAACTAATTACGTCATAATAGAAAACACAACTTACTATCACTACAATAAGATCTCCGCAGAAATACCCAAACCTCCGGGTTCACTACGGCGAAGGAGAGCAGCAACTGCAAAGTCAATGGTGCATGGATGGAATATCTCACTCAGCTATGACGGGAAAACGTACAGCAGTCACGTGACCATGCTAATATTTAATGGACAGGTTTACAAATGCGACGTTCAAACACTTGCTTGCAATTCTTTAGTGAGTACTACGTTTCGGTAAAAACTTTATTTGATGCTATGGGATTTTTTTTTGGTACTTTTTTGCATTTAAAAAATACCTCAAGTTTAAGCTTATCAATTTTATTACCAGAATCAAATATCTACAGATTCCTCGACTGATACTGGTATGTAACACTTTACTATTTAGATTTTAAGATGAATTTTTCTTTTTACTAGTTCTTCGTGCTTTATGTAAATGACATTCTTTTTTAATTTTATTATAGAGACTCACATACATATCCTAATAGTTGGCATAATAGTGGGATTCCTTGTGGTTGTCATAGTAACAACTATTGTTGTCTTGAAAAAATTTAAAGGGTATGTATATCTAGTTAGTTATGTACTTATTCTTTAAATCAAATTAAACAACTGCTAAAATATTTTTATTCTATAAGGAATTCGGTTGTTTCTACTATCAACATATCGAGGGATCGTAAAGTTCCTGTTCGGCAAGAAAAATTCATGCCATCAGTAAAGATTCTAAATGACAGACATGGTACAGTAAACGTTACATTGTTTAAGGAGAAGACAGAAATCTGTGGTTCTGTTGATGTCTTCTTCACCCCCAGTCCTCCTCCTGAATACAGCATACCACCACTTGGCCATCGCTTCACCCCCAGTTTTTCTCCCGAAGTCAGCATACCGCCACTTGGCCATCGCATGGAGTCCAATGAATTTAACTCTTTGAGCATCGAGTCCTATGATTAATAATATTCACTTACTGTTCTATGCATGAAACATTAATGTGAATATTATTGAAATGTAATTTTGTGCTTCCACCTATAGTCTGTTTTTTTCCTAGATTTTTTGTTTGTTTGTCTGTCTGTTTTTAATTAAATATAGTACTAAATGCATTCTTTATGTTGATTAGATTTTGTCGGAGCCGGTTCATTTTATTAACTTATTAACGATGGATTGGATTGGTCTTCTGACTGATTTCGTCACAAAAAAATTATTGATATTCCACTTTCATTTGTCAAAATTACTGCATTTGGTACACGTTAACATGTATTTCTAGCTTCGATTTGGCTTAATAAACTTGCATTTCACTGTATTGTTATTTATTAAAATGCTTAATAATTTAAATAAATGATTGTTATATGACTGTATCTTGGACTCTGTTTTATTAGCGTCATTACCTTTGCGTAGATGCCTGTTGTAAACCCTATTTTTTACGTAAGAGCATCAGATTGTTCTGTCCAGGCATGGGCACGATTACTGAAAAAATATAATCGATCAATAATCGATTACTTGGGGAAATTTTGTGTAATCGATTATTAATCGATTACACTCATTTTTGTCTTGTAATCGATTACTTTGGATGATGTATTCGATTAATAATCGATTATTTCCAAACTTTCATCCCCTCAAATATATCAAAGCGATATTTAAATGTTAAATGGTAATGTAGATGATATCCACTGAAGTTTGAATGTGTTCCTGCAGTTTCAGTGCAGATTCTTTTAAGGTTTTATTCTGGTTAATTTCATATTTTAGACTTAACATTCTCACTAAATGCCCAAATGAGGGATTCTCTACCATGGAAAGTGGAGACATGGTTCCTACAACAAACTATGCCAAGGAATTAATTATTCCTTTCAACCTTGGATTTGAACCTACATATTTATTGACTTTTGTTGCAGAAATTATAAAATATTTTATTGTGAATTAGAAGTCTTTGGACTGCCCGCATTTTGGCAGTACACATAAAACATTTCTGTGTCTTTTTAAAAAAAAAAAAGTAAGTAAATAAGAACTCTTAGTAATAAACATGTAAATCAAATGTGCCTTTAACTGTTTAAGTAAAACCAATAGCACAATTTCATTCTAAATTGAAATAAGTGTTTTGAGAGCTATTAATTGTTTTAATAATTGTTTGTCTTCAATGGAACCATCAATTGTTAAATATTGTTTGTCTTCAATGGAACTATCAATTATAAAAGTTAAACACTAGGTACACATAGTTCACAGTTTACACCTCAGGGGTGTCTCAGTCAATTAGCCAAGATAAGCAAACATGCCATTACTCTCTCTCTTTTAAATATAGACACTTACACATGTTACATGCATAACCTCTCACTGACAAAAAAAAAGTAACCTTACAATTTTGAATGAAAACATGAGAATGATTTGCAAATTTTAAAGTTACTTAATAAAACACAAGTTTGAAGTTGATTAAACATTTTCAGAAATGAATAAGTATTTCCATCTTCTTCTTTTTCCAAGTACAATGTAGTTTATTTACTAAATTATTTATGTTTAACACATATTTTTAAATCTGTTTTTGCTATTTACATGTATAATTTTCTAATACAAGACAAAATTTTTCAACATCCGAAATAGAAAAAGGGCATGCAGCAAGAGGACAGTGGAACAAACGTTAAATGCACACAAAAAATCTTTATATTTTATTAATAAATGGTTAAAATACACTTCTGAATTATTTAATACTAGACCAGTAGGCTTATAATACACATTTTATTGAGAACATTTATTAACCTATGATAATAAAAGTTAGGAAATCAAAATATAGCACTTAGGTGGTTTGTATTTGATATTTATCACGTTTGTGTGTGACTGACTGGAATCGAAAAAGTAATTATAATTACATTGAAAATTTTAGCTGTAATCGATTGAATTACGATTACAAGTGAGCGAAAATCTCTTCGATTACAGATTACTGTCGATTGCTTGAAAAAAAAGTAATCATTACAATCGATTACGATTACCCCTATGCCTGGTTCTGTCAAGTAAGTAAAAGGCTTAATTTATGTTCGTTTCAGTCTTTATACTATCCATAAACTATAAGTATGCATTTCTTACGTTATAATTTATATTAACTTTGATCATTTCTTAGATACAATACACAATAAAAAAATTAATTCAAATAACGGACAATATAAAATTAAATATTTACAGCAGAGGAGACTAAATGAATAATTTGCAAGGATATTATTTTGCATATCATTAATCATGGTTTCTCACCAGAAGAAGTCAACAGGGGAAAATATCTGATTGAATTCTGATTGCATGATTAATAGGTTTCAATGAATAATTCATATAAATTAATAAATGTTGTAAATAAATATTGAAATAAATATTGAAACGCCTGCACTAGAGTTTATACTTACTCTTCTAATATTACATTAGGTACAAGATGATGTCAGTAAACTGTATTAAGATTCACTCGAATAGTATTTATCGTATAATATAATTCAAAGTAGACTTTCTTTTCGATGAACATGCAGCCGTGAAATAGCAGAAAAGATGGTACGGTGGTGTTCACGGCTGGCGGATCTAAGTTACTTGCAAATTTTAATGAAACAGACAACAAGCAATCGTTTAATTATTTGACAAAACGTCATTGGTGAACAATTCAATCAAAACTTGATATAAGTGATATAGAAGAAATAAACTGTAACTGATTAAAAAGCAAAGTGTGCAAATTGTTTCCGTCAGTCCCCAATCTTAGTTTTGAAGGAAATTTCTAGATTGTCATGACATCGAACCCGATGTTTAAAAGAAAAACACTACATATTAACACGAATGTAGAACAAATTATGCTTTGGTGTAAATGGGCATGAAAATAATGGTATAGCAATCATTGATAACACTATAAGTAGCGGATATATTTATGTAACGAAAGACTATTAGTAGGTTGTGCCAATCAATGTATCATTCGCCACTGAGAGCATCAACAAACAAAGTTTTTAGATTTTTTTAAGGATTGTATTTCCTTGAATATTAAAATAAATTACCCCCATACCTCCTATATTGCTTCTTACTCTTAATTTTATAGACTTTATACTTTTTTGTGACTTATAGGCGCATGATTTTCTGTGTATTTATATTTATTAGAATTGTGAAGTGCCTCTTTATATTCTTTGTATTTTATTTACAGTCATTTTCAACCATGGTTTATCTTCAGTCCGTTTACATGATATTATACATTTGCTTCTGGTGTGTGTATATCAACTGTGATAACACATCTTACATTGGGGTGTGAATATCACACTGTGATATCACATCTTACAGCTAGTGTGTGTATATCAACTGTGATAACACATCTTACATTGGGGTGTGTATATCACACTGTGATAACACATCTTACAGCTGGGGTGTGTATATCACACTGTGATAACACATCTTACAGCTGGGGTGTGTATATCACACTGTGATAACACACCTTACAATTGGGGTGTGTATATCAAACTGTGATAACACATCTTACAGCTGGTGTGTGTATATCACACTGTGATAACACATCTTACATTGGGGTGTGTATATCAACTGTGATAACACATCTTACATTGGGGTGTGTATATCAACTGTGATAACACATCTTACATTGGAGTGTGAATATCACACTGTGATAACACATCTTACAGCTGGTGTGTGTATATCAACTGTGATAACACATCTTACATTGGGGTGTGTATATCACACTGTGATAACACATCTTACAGCTGGGGTGTGTATATCACACTGTGATAACACATCTTACAGCTGGGGTGTGTATATCACACTGTAATAACACACCTTACAATTGGGTGTGTATATCACACTGTGATAACACATCTTACAGCTGGGGTGTGTATATCACACTGTGATAACACATCTTACATTGGGGTGTGTATATCACACTGTGATAACACATCTTACAGCTGGGGTGTGTATATCACACTGTGATAACACATCTTACAGCTGGGGTGTGTATATCACACTGTAATAACACACCTTACAATTGGGTGTGTATATCACACTGTGATAACACATCTTACAGCTGGGGTGTGTATATCACACTGTGATAACACATCTTACATTGGGGTGTGTATATCAACTGTGATAACACATCTTACATTGGGGTGTGTATATCAACTGTGATAACACATCTTACATTGGGGTGTGAATATCACACTGTGATAACACATCTTACAGCTGGTGTGTGTATATTAACTGTGATAACACATCTTACAGCAGGTGTTTGTATATCACACCATGATAACACTTGATTTGATTTTTGATTTGAACATATTTTATTGTAATAATACATACAAAAGGATTGGATACACGTTCTTTCAACTTAATAAATCCTCTCCTTATTATACAAACAATGAATACAATATGATTGTTATAATAAATAAATTGAGATAATTTACGAAAATTTATGATGTACATGTAATATATATGAAAATTATAAAGACAAATACTCTGAGTAATCTACCAGAGCTCTAATGTTACATATACACTGACCTCAATGTTTATTGAACAAGAACAAGATAACACTTCTCACAGCTGTATCAATAACACCACAAACAGAATTAATACACAGCTATTTCATTCACTCTTATTACAAAGTTAGGTATCAACGATATTCATATACTCTGGCATTTGTCTACTAAAACTTGTTGAAATTTGTCACCAATTTTTATGTATATATCTGTATACAATTGTAAAATTGTGATGAGATTAATAAATCAGTTCAAACATATTGTGTTAAACAGCATTTATAATGTCTGTATACTACATGTACTTACATACCGAACAATCCTACTTGAATCTTGAGCTTCTCTAGTGTTACCAAAATTGTTTTATCACCTTTACATGAAAGAGCGGGGGGGGGGGGGTTCAGATAGGGTATTAAATGTAACAACATTGAATTTTCAATATTTTGCATCATATCTTGTTCACATAATCGATAACACTATTTTCATTCGTACCACAGAATGTTACACTACTAACACAATCATCATAATGTCTACCTTTAACTAATCGAAAAAAAAGAAACAGATTTACATAATGTTAACAAGTAAAATTGATGCAAAGCATCAAATTGGCCGCAAACAAATTTAGCATTTTATAAAGTACACCACTATTTTACTAGACGCGGTGATGGACAACACAATAAATGCCAAGTGTAGAAAAAATATCCTTGTGTAAATCGCAGCGGTAGCATATTCACAAGAATATTTAATAGTTTCACCAACTTTTCAATTTCAATTCATAACTTATTATCCGGAAAATCATAACGATTGCGTTCATATCTTACACACTCCCATGCTGGGGAGTATCTATTGTAAACCCTTTTTATATGGTCATAAATTAATAATTATCTGATGAAGAATAAAAATTAAATTGAAGCATAATAATAACAATTAAGACTTAATTGAAAGTAATTTTTTAAGATATTTTACTCACAATTTTTATGCATGTTATTGTAAATGAATTATTTTACAGAACTACTAAAGAAATAACGTCTATTTCCCCAAGAGCACTTTCTAACACAACCACAAAAAGATTGGCCGCTGCTGCTGCCGATAACAATTGTCTACCGTAATGTTAAGAGAAGTACATTTATCTTGAGCTTTTATTTCAACCATACATATGTCTGAAGTGAAAGGTAGTAGTATGTCTGTAATAAATTCATTAATATTATCGTTGGTGTATAATCAACATTATCTCCACATCTGGCATTAAAATCTCCTAATACAAATATACAACCATGAGTAATATATTTAACAAGGAGATCATACAAGCATTGAAATGTCTTGGTCCTCTATCTCATAGAAAACGCGTCCATGGTGAGGAAAATAACGGTAAACAGGTTTATCACTGAGCATAAGATTCAGTTTTAACATTAACATAGTATCAGAGATATTTTTAAAAAAAAAAAAAAAAAAACTAACATATTTAAATATTTCTTTTTAAATAAATTATTCTTAATATCCCTCTACCAGACCTGTGGGGTGTTTTAATGATTCATATACATCCAAGAAAATGATGTTACAATCACTCTCTGTTATCCAACTTTCAGAAAGACAGACCACATCTCCCGTATTAAGAATATCTATTAAGTCACTTTCTCTTTGTTTGTTCTTATGCCCTTTTCCAATTTCCAAGTTAGTACACGAAGGGGAATAGGACCGCGGATAGTATGCCGGTATGGTAAATCGCGCGACGACGTGGTTCTATCTTTCCATGGGCATACCAGCAGGGTAGAAGCTCTTATTTTCAAAGTTATATTTATTTAAAATTTTGACTTAAGTCTCAGTTTACGGTCTAACCAAGTGGAGTATTTAAAGATTATTACAGATCAATTTTTCACAATTCTTCAGCCATTTCTTAAGTAAATGCTAGCACTGTTTCAGATACTACTCAGAATCTATTCACGATAAACTTTTAACGATTGTTAAACGCCATGTCTTTTAAATAGCATAATAAATGGGCGGATATTCTTTTACAGTTCTATTTAATTTTGGCGATCTACATAGATTGATAATATTCATTGATAATTGTGATGATGTTTTCAATGCACTGAGTCAACATTTGCATTTAAATTACATTGAAACATTGCCATTGCTTAAAAAAAAACAACCGACGAATTTTAATATATTGGAATACATTTAAATAATATTTGAAGTTAACGATGATTGTGAAAAGCATTTTCCTTTTTGTCGTCATTTCTATAAAATCAGGTGAGTTGTATATTTCTTAACACTATATGTATAGTATGTCATGTTAAGTTAAATTCAATCGTCTGCTCTTCAGACTTCCTGTTCAATAAACCTCAGCCATATTTATTACATATACTGGTAGTCTGTGTTCAGCATATTCAGTAGAAAGATAAGTGTTTAAAATAATTTTCATTTTGCCTGGATTAAACAATAAAAATCAGTTTTATAAAAGACAATTTCTATGTTGAATACAATAGGTTTATGTAAATTCTAATGATCTCTTTATCAAAGGTTCTTCAATCGGTCTCAATCCAAACGTTCAAACTTCGTTAGAGCAGCCCTCTGATGGTTTGATGTTGGAACCAGTCTTCCAATGTGTATTCAACTCATTAACAGATGAATTTTTGTATGATGTTCAATGGTTTATTGATAATAACGAAATATTAGAAGCAGAGTCACGTGATGTTCATTTCAGTAACGTGAACACTACGTCATTGAAACCCCACCACTGGTCAGGGAATTACAGCCTTAATTTCAACGTATGCACGATTTTCACTCTGAGTAAAGTTAATTTATAGTGTGCTTCTGTAATTAATTTGGTTTCTTTTAATTAATGAATCAAGTAATTTTAAGAGGTTAAAGTGGATACAATTAAAATTCTGCTTGTATAACTCATTATTTCCTTACTTAACAGGTGTCTTGTTCTGTGAAGGCTAAAAATATCACCTCTGGGAATACCACTCTGTATAGCAGGAGCTCCAACTTTCTGGCTGGAATAATTGTAATTTGCTTCCATGTCTTCCATTTAGCAAAGTTTTTTTAAAAATACAATTTATATTTAAATATCTATCTCCTTATTGTTTTTTTCTTGCCATTCTTTAATATAAAGCAATATTTCAATTGTATATTTTCTCATCAGCCAGAATCATTGGAATATTTAGTTAAGGAGGGTGACTCGGTGGAAGCCTCTCTGACGAGTTCGTTACCTCTGAGCTGTCCTACGTCATTAAGTGACGCCATGAAGAAGGTCAACTGCAGGATGACCCTGAATGTTTGGACTACAACTGAGGAATCCTGGGAAACTTGCAGAAACGGACTGGCAATGGGAGATTTACTACTGAATAACAATGCATGTTCAGTGTCTCTTGATTTTAATGAAAATGGAAATACGACTGTTGTTTTCAACATAACTGGATACGTTGACGGGATGATAAATTATAAAAATAAAACCAGTTACGTTCGATTCAGTATATCTCCTTATCCTCATGACAGTTATGGAATCTGGGAAAATATCAGTATTCCGGAAATTAAGGCATGTAAAAAGTTCATCTATGTCTTAGATACAAGCACATGTATATAACATATGTGCATACAGAAATCATAGTTACAAATAACATTTACTTTCATGAAATAATTTAATAAAACAATGAGGTCCTTGTTCTATTTCAGGTTTTTGTTTTCGACAGTGACAGTCTGGTGGCCCGGATGTTGTGTACATCTTATAACGATCCTCATTTGACAACATTTGATGGAAAACAATGGGACAACCAAAGGCCAGGAGAGTTTATCATGTATAAACACAAATATCTACCATATTCAGTAAGTCAAGGCAAGATGTACAAAGTTAAATACAAATACCAACCATACACTTACCGTCAAACACAAATATCCACCATACCCTGAAAGTCAAACACAAATATCTACTATACTCTGAAAGCCAACGCAAGGTATACATGTACTATTAAATACAAAAATCTACCATACACTGAAAGTCAAACACAAATATCTTACCATACTATGAAAGTCATACACAAATGTCTATCATATTTCGAAAGCCAAATTAAAATATCTACCATTCTCCGAAAGTCAGACACAAATATCTACCATTATCGTAAAACCAAATACAAAAATCTTACCATACTCTGAAAGCAAGACACAAATTCTTAGAAATCACTAATGTTCGTGGAAGTTTTATTTTCGATGTTTCCGTGGTATGAAGAGACCCGCGAATTCATGTCCTCCACAAAATGTAACATTTCAAATGTATAACAAATCATCATTTTGTCAACCACAAAATTAAATTCCTACGAACAGACCTTTTTTCCTGAAACCACGAAACTTGGGTCTTACGAAAATGTGATTTTACAGTATTTACAAATATCTACCATACTATGAAAGTCAGACATTAACATCTACGATACTTTAAAAGCCAGATACAAATATTTACTGTACTCTGAAAGCCAGAGAAAATATCTATCATACTCCAAAAGTCAGGCACAAATATTTAATACACTCGTAAAGTCAAACACAAATATCTACCACTCTCTGAATGTCAAACACAAATATCCACCATACTTTTAAAGTAAAACACAAATAGCCACCGAACTCAAAGTCAGATATAAATATCCACCATACTCTTATAGTAAAATACAAATATCTACCATATACACTTAAAGTCAGATACATATATCCACCATACTCGAAAAGTCAGAAACAAATATCTATAAATGTCTATCTACCATATACACTTAAAGTCAGATCAAATATCCACGATACTCGATAAGTCAGAAACAAATATATCTACCATACTCTAAAGTCGATACAAATATCTACCATACCCTTAATGTCATATATAAATATCTCTACCATACTCTTAAGTGGATACAAATATCTACCGTACCCTTAATGTCATATATAAATATCTCTACCATACTCTTAAGTGGAAACAAATATCTATCATGCCCTTAATGTCATATATAAATATCTCTACCATACTCTTAAGTGGATACAAATATCTACCATACCCTTAATGTCATATATAAATATCTCTACCATACTCTTAAGTGGATACAAATATCCACCATACCCTTAATGTCATATATAAATATCTCTTCCATACTCTTAAGTGGATACATATATCTACCATACCCTTAATGTCATATATAAAATCTCTACCATACTCTTAAGTGGATACAAATATCTACCATACCCTTAATGTCATATATAAATATCTCTACCACACTCTTAAGTGGATACAAATATCCATCATATTCAGTAAGTCGCACTAAAACTTTCATATTCGGTATTTACACAAAATACATAATATACGTATTCATTATTTGGTAAAGGAGTATTACTACAATTGGACATTTGTAAAATGTAGCAACACAAATATCTATTGTACTCCATAAAAGTTGTTTTAAAGTTATATCATACCTTTGATAAATTGTTTGATGAACCATGCTTTCAGGTAAATGTGTTGTTTTCTTCTTGTGTTGCTGGGTACGCTACGTGTAACTGTGGTGTTGCAATCAGAAGCAACTTCAGTCTATATGTTGTCAGGACATGTGCTCAGGTCTCCTTCAGGGAGACCGAGTTGTTAACTGTACCGTACGAGAAACTGACTCTTAACAGAACCACTGATTTACACATAGCCAAATCGGGAGGTCTCTTTGAGGTAAAATTTAAAAAAATGTAATCAATTTAAATTCAATCATTCATGACATTCATTTTTATCCTATTCACACCCTGAACTCTGATTGGGACTTTATGGAAATGTGTGAAAATTAAAACAAACAGGTACCCCATGCTTACAGTCAGAATGCAGTTTAACCCCAAACTAAAATGACATGACACTTCTTTCAAGGTCACACTCCCAAGCGGAACACGAGTTTCATTCGAACTCTCGTATGACAATTCATGGATTTCTAGTGTACGGGTTCAAGCAGGTATCCTTGATATCGGGAACAGCGAGGGCATGTGTGGATTAGCTAATGGAGAGCAAAGCGATGATTTTATACCCAGACAGGGAAATGTCTCCACAGACAACCATACATTTGCCTTATCTTGGAGGTAGATTTTGAAGATTTGATAAGTCATAGCACACGGTACCTAAGAAATAAACTACACATCGTTGATGAAGTGATATTTTTTTTAATTGTAGGATTCCTTTAAAATCCAAGGAGAGCTTGTTCTCTAATAATGCTGACTCAGTCCTGAAGAGGTATATGAGTGATCTCCCATTGCTTATGTACTTTTGTGCCAGAGTCTTTCTCTAACTTACGATGTTTTGTATTTTTTATTTTTATTATGTAAATCATTGAAAATGAGTTGTCCCTCTTAACAAGAGTTGGTAATTACCATCCAGAAAGATACAGTCAGTGTACCCGAGGACCTAATGGATCCGGCAATCCAAACATACACAACCTCTCTATACCAAGTATGCTTTGTATAGAGGGGGAGTCATTCACAGCGAATCTGTCCATACTGTCCAATCGAAATGTTAATGGCGACTTTGCAGATCCACTTTCTTACGACCCAGATTATAACGAGACAGAAAGTCCTCGGGTAAGATTATCAAAACATCAAATTTCAAAATGACAATTGGCTCTAGAGATAAGGAGTCATATTAATGAACGAAATTGTCATATATTTAGGCATCAGGATGGACCAATGGATGGACAGAAATTTCTGCTCGCACATTTTGTGAGAATTCTTTTATTAATGACGCTGCTGTCGATATGTGCGAAACAAGGGCGAGTGTATCCTCAAGTTCCTATGTGGAGAGTTGCATAGCTGACATAAAGGTATATTTCCCATAGTTACTGAATATAGCTCATTGTTTTGTTTTTTTTTTTCAAATTTATTTTTAATAATGATTCCAGTGGTTGATAAACTGAAAAAAAAAACCAAATTCTGCTCATAGGTAAATGGTTTTTTTTAGCTTTCAGGAAATACAACGTATCTACAAGATAGTTTAAAGACTTTCAAAGGTGCCTGTTTAGCGGCAGTGATGCATGATGAGACATATTACGTAAACAAAACATCAGATGGACGGTTTCTTGTCGAAGTCATCACATCTTTTCTTTGTCCACAGAATTGCTCTGAACATGGAAACTGCACAAATGGTAATTGTTCTCGATTTGTATTGCTTAAGATTTAATTGCAAGACTGATTTTTTTTTTTTACTTTATCTTTGCCTTTTTCATTTCTTACATTTCATGCACATACATGAAATTTGAAATTTTGAATGATGAAGATTTCTTCAACCAGATGAAAAATCTCGCAAGAATGGTTTGCCTTTGAGTTGGTCTATAGTTTTGAAAGACAAATCAGAGATTGCAATAAGGTAGCAATCTGAATGATACCATTTTCAGCTAGGTGCGCCTGTTTTGATGGATTTGTTGGTAGTGACTGTTCCACGCCGACCTCCACCCCTCCCGATGTCTTTATCCTTCCTTTCCACGGCCATTGTGATACAAACTCCGGATCATGTCAGAAAATCGACGTCATCGGATTCTTCCATTCAGAGCATATCTGGGCAAACTTGTCATGCTTCGTGGTAAATAAGAAAAATTCACATGTGAGAAATACATATGCTGATGTTCTGACAAAGAGAATTGTGTAACTTTAGTAACATACTGTAAAACAGTTTCTTTATGTACAGCTCTAGTGCCCAGATTATGTTCATAAATCCAATTATTTTGCTTATAAAAAAAAGTCACAAGATATTCTTAATATGTTGCGAAGCATGCACATTTTTCATATGGTTATCAATTACATTATACAGTCTTTTAAAACTGGGACTTTCAAGAGCCAATTTTATCTTTAGATAACAACAAATGGATCGATTACAACGACCACTGTCTCCGTTATAAAATCAACATATCATCACTTCAATCACGTGTCAATAGAATTACCCATGACTCTCCACAACTCCCAAACCGAGGCTGCACGTGGCTGTAACATCAGCTTAAGTTATGACGGTGTTGTTTTTAGCAACGAACAGACATTGTTAATATATAACAAACAGAAATACAGTTGTGACTTAGGAAGTCTGACTTGTGAAGAAAAAGCAGTATGTATTCAGAATTTATGTTCACTATTATTTTGAAGTGCTCGGGCTATTAAAGGAATAAAAACATTTTGGGACAATTCGGAAAGGAACGAATAATCTTAAAACAACCTTGACATATTAAAATCATTACATTTATTATCTAATTAACAAAATAACGAGTATCATAAATTAAGCAAAAATCTACCAATAGAAATCCAAGTTAGAGAGTTGAAATTTACATTTGTGATTTTCTATCCTATTATAGCTAGACACAAGTGATCCCGACGAATCAGGTATGTTGTGTTCCATTCAAATCTGAGATAGTGCACAATGTAATGTATGTGTATTCCTTTATTTATAATTATATATGTGTACTTATAAAGAATTTATCTAATTCCAGATAGAATAGTTTTGATAGCCGCCTTAGTGTCTTGTTTCTCTATTGTACTGATTTTCACTGCAATACTTGTGGTGAACAAATGCAAAAGGTATCATATTCCTACATATCTTAGGTCGTAAAATTCTCTCCTCTTTTAAATTACAGTAAAAACATTTTCTTATGTGTCTTTTTTTCTTACTAAAGCTATTTCCCATGCGCATCAAAGACATCAATGATACCAAGCCCCCCTCCCCGACAACACTCCATTATCCCCCAGAAGAAGAAAACTATAAAATTTGATGAAAACACCGATTTTTTTAACAATTCAATAATATCCAGTCACCCACCACTACAGCAGCAATGGACGGAGAAACGAAAGCCATCGTTCAGCTTTAAATCCAACGGCGTTTATCCACAACGTCCTCCCACTAGTCATTTCATGCAGAGCGATGATGGTTTTCTCCAAAATGATTGGGAAAGTTTTGGTCAATCTGCCCCACGGACACACAGACTACCCCCTATAGGAATGCGACCAAACGATGTTTCCGTTCCATCGATACCTCCCAGACGACAGGAACTGCCGCCATTAAGACGTCATCCCCAATCTCCTCTTTGAGTTATAATAAGTACATTCTTTTGTCAGCGGCAAAATTTAACAAAACTTGTGAATTTCATGGTTCCTGAAACATCAAACTGAGGAAATATGCAAGGATTCATCTGAGAAATTGAAATTGTTATAAAAAATCTTATCTTGAAATTTGCAGATTTTTAAATGAGAATTAAACTATGAATAAACTCTTGTTAAGGAGGGATTCTTCTCTTATTCTACTCATATTTCTTGTATTTAAAAATCAATGAAATTTTCATAGATTCAAAAAGACAATATCATTAAGTGATGGTATCAATTAGATTAAATTTGACCGTTTTATTTTAGAAACAAGGTCAGGTCAAGGTCATTATCTTTTTCTTTGACATTAAGAGTAAAAAATTACTGTTGCTAATCATGTTATGCCTACTTCTATTTTAAAAGATAAAATGTTTTTTCTTTTTGCACAGAAAGATGTTACCATATCGGGTCTATCAGATGATTCTACCAAATTAATTGACACTATTTAACTTAAATAGATATTGGCTAATCCGGATTTACTCTGTTTTTCTTAATTTTTAAGGATATATTAGTTATTTTTATATACTTCTTATATTTAAATATTTCTTATTTTTACATATGGTAAAATAGTCATATAAATATACAAAATGATACAAAAACAAAAAGCTTTGACCGTTTAGTAAGAGAGAAAAAACACTTTTTACTGATTTTTTGCTCAAATCTGTTTTAAGGTTGGAGGCTTTCAAAAGCTAACAAGATTGTAGTTTGTTTAGAAAATCATTTTTATTTGCTATGTTTTAAAACTTTAGGGCATTATTAATAATTTTAGTTACATATAAAAATTTCTTTAAGTATTTGATTGTTTAAAAAAATTAACCACATATAATGTTCTGTAAGTGATTTTGATAGGCAGAAAAGGAGTTACATGTATTTCCATACGCCGCAGTTGCGCCAAAAATGTAGTCCCTTACGGATTTCAAACTCAGTTTACCATTTCTATTTAAAATTGTACAATTATGATGAGTAAAGAAAAATTTGATCTTTTAAATACATTACAGCTAAGTTTATAAGACAGACAAGCAAATATACTTGGAATATTTCGTCTAGTCAGAAACCAGACAAATACATGTATATGGAGATCGTATCTGTATATCAAAATAATGGCTTTAAGAATATATTTTATTCCTAAATATATATAAGTACACTAATTTAGATATTGAGGACCATTTTAGCTTCCATGCAGAAGATCAAGTTCTAATTTTTAAAGTCTAAATTTTCAAGAATATGTTCCACAGAATTATTAAATATATCCTTATAAAAAAAATTGTTTCTGTGGAATTGTTTAAAATACTAATCGATTTTTAATTCAGAAATATTCAATCTAATTAAAATCAGACTTTCCTAGATATGCACAGAATGTATAGGGTGTGGATCAAAGAAGATAATATTTTAATTAGAGCGCATTTAAACAAAAAATGTTAATAAACAAACGTTTTCTCTCATATCAAGAGTATTGTATAAAAAGAGGTCAAATACTCAGCACTCGTCTCTATATATACAGGTAGTATGAAATACTCTGAGTTTACGATTGTCGTATTCTTCCATTTTCTTATTTGTACATTTGTTCACGTGGTCAAATTATATATTCTTAAAGCTTGGTTATCTTGTTTACTTGTCCGTTTTCCAGTAAGGGTAGTAGCATATATATTAATATTATTAAATATTACATTATTATTTATTAAGGGCTGTTCACCATGTTTGGTTTTGCACATGGAACGGTTGAATTTTCACCATTATAAAAATATTTTTTTATGCAAACAATCAATTCTTTCCTCAGTTTGATTTTATTTACTGTTTTATTTTAAAATGAATAAATTCTGGTTCTGTTGCACCGAGAGCGAAACCAGGGACCTATATACTAACGTTAGTATATAGGTCCCAGGCGAAACCATGCAATTAATTATTGTTCCAACCTACTGATACTTTAATATACAAATGTACTTCTACGGTAATTGCATTTAACTATACCCTTATTATCATATAGATGTTTATTATTTATGTGAAGCATTACTGTGTTATACAGTGTAGTAAGTATAAAGATAAGCCGACTTAAATATAACAATTTGACAAGATATTTCAAATCAAACTAAATGTAACATTCTCCTATGTGCGTAACTTTGGAAAGTCTGTCCAGCTGTGGACATTTAAACTATAAATGTTTCCTGCAGATAACAAGCTAAATACGCCAATTTTTTTTTTTTTTTTTTTTTTTTTTTTTTTTTTTTTTTTTTTTTTTTTTTTTTTGTCGTCAGTACTTCTGTATGCCACCGCAACTGAATATCAAAAATCTTAATTTTTTGTCTTTCAATTCCCAAAGGAAATTACAATTTGATAAATTCAATTTTTTTTTTTTGGCGTCGTTTGTACTTCCGTTCGCCACTGAAACTGAATATTAAAAATCACAACTTTTTGTCTTTCAATTCTATAAGGAAATTAGAATTTCATAAATTTAATGAACATGCATTACTAAAATAAATTGATATATATAAATATATATATAAAAAAAAAAAGAGAGAGAGATATGTTCATGTTTACTTCGTGGAAGAGAATATTACTGGACTTGTCATATATTAAAGCTATATATGGCGTATCTGAGCTTGAAAAATAATAATGCAAGATAGAGTGTAAATATACATGATATAATTATGTTATTTACGTTCAAATTAAAATTTTCACCGATTTTGAGCTTGAATAACCTCACGTTTCTATAGAAAAATTGACTATAAATTTGTCTGCTACTTAAATTGGAGTCGGTAAATAAATCGGTTTTTGCTTTAAATTTGTAATATCTTTGAAACGCGATTAATTTAAATTGTGTAATTTACAGGAAAGTCCTATCTTTATATAAAGTAATAAAACAAATAGAAAGATCTTTTTTTTAATTTTGGTTACCTGAACTTATAAAAAAAAAAACAAAAAAAAACGCCATATTTGACTTTAAATATTGCAAAATTCAGTGTTTCTACTTGTCTGAAATAATTGGACTTAAAATCTACAGACTTCAATATCATCACGTTGAACAAAGAATTTCACTGTGAATCCCAGAGGGTGGCATGGCTGACCGCTTTTTCAGTACTTTGATTCTATTCTATAGAGTGTTTTTCCACGGTTATATAGGTGCAACCACCCCCCCCCCCCCCCGGATCCCCGCGTTCTACGGGTCTGTACGATCATTTGTGACATTCTCTTTAAAATAACTGAAATCTGTGTGATTCCTATTGAAGGCATGAGAAAGGATGGCTTCTAGCTATATATTTTCACATCTTTACATTAGACGATCTATACTGCACGCCGAGTCTTCAAGTACTTACCATGGTGAACTGTTAATTATAAATACCTGGGGCCCGTTTTACAAAAGAACTTACGACTAAGACCAAAATTTAATTCTGTTTGTAACTTTTTTATTTACATTATATTGAAAATAGTTTTGTAAATTATTTTTACGCTAGCAATTTTAAAAAGAATCATTAATTTCGAAGAATTTTAAAATCAATCTTAATTTTTGGTCTTAGTCGTAATTTCTTTTGTAAAACGGGCCCCTGGTATTTACTTTTTTAATTTCTCAGTGTATTGCATCGTCTCAAGCCACGTTCCGGAGTCCGCATATAGCTCTCTCCTCAGAATGGGAGAGGATCGTACATTTTGGCCGTGGTTTGCGACGATGAGTGTATTGGTACAGATAAATAACTGTTGGACTCATAGAATATAATTTCATCATACATTCATGAAGTTACACAACCACGAATTAGCATCTGTTTTTTATAGTATAGTATGTACTGGCAGATGTTTTCAGCAGGAACCCCCCGGCCCGTTTCCAGCAGACCTGATAAGCACATCTATATTCTGTTATATTCATACATGTATAATCATGGGTCCGATTTTCGAAAGAACTAAAGACTAAGACCAAAAGCTTTCTTTGATTGTAAAATCTTGCAAAATCTTTGATTGTTAAAAAAAAAAAAAGAAAAGCTAGCATACAAATATACAGCTGTATTTCTAAATTCTTTTTTAAAAAAGATTAAAATCATTTTCAAATTAATGTTTAAAGATAGAAAGTACATTTTGATCTTTTAACGGGGCCCATCACGTGACTCACAACTATTTTTTTTTCATATGTTCAGTATTACGATTATAATTGGTTGAAATTATCACTTTAAGAAGAAATAAAAGATTTTTTTTATTCAGTATTTCTAATTATTTCAGATTATGATATTAGGTCAAGAAAGCTTTTTTTTAAAGTCGGCTAATTTTACCAACTGACCTCCGAGGTCAGTGACCAGTGACAAGATGAATTTCCTGATTTTCCAGAAGAGGTCAGTATAATTGTAGGCCAGCACTTCCGCAATATACTTTAATTATTGAGCTTTGGCGTCGTGCAGAGACTGAAATGTTAGCCTTCCTTGACTGGCTGAGACTGGGTGCCCTCCTTGACTGGTTGGGGCTGGGCGAGCGACTGGGTGGCCTCCTTGATTGGTTGGGGCGGGGTGATCTTCTTGGCCTTGGGACAATCGTCGGACAATCTGAACGTAGGTATCAATTAAGCTATCGCATCTTGTGTAATTAACTTACCCCGGTGTCTGGGTGGGAGCAAGTGAAACATGACTCCGACGATGGTGCATGCTGAACAATAGATCATACATACAATCTAAAAACCAGCTTCACGTGTCAACGTGAAAATACGTACAGTGAAGCTAAGACGCTGAATTTCATTGTTTATTTTTAGATACAAGTATGGCTGCTGGACAATGGAGTTCATTACCGGCCGATATTCTTCTGAAAATATTCGCCTACCTCGAACAAGGGGAGAAAGTGCGGGCTTCCACCGTGTGTAAGAATTGGCGCAATGCTTTCCATTACCCCGAATTTTGGCGAGAATTCCACTTCGTAATCAGGGATGCTCCTGTAGAACACTGGCACCAACACTGCTTGGAAAATCATGGAGGTCATTTCAGACACGTAGTGATCAGTGTTGACCAAAGTTCTACGGAAAACCGGAATATGGCTCTACAAATTCTTAGTGCATTTGCAAACTTAGAGAGGGGAAAACTCGAATCCCTAGCAATAAAATTTACCGGAGAAAATCCTCTTTTCTACAACGGAGCAGAATTTACAGAAGGGCTGTTCACCATGTTTGGTTTTGCACATAGAACGGTTGAATTTTCACCATTTTCCCTTAGAACAGGAGATTTCAGTGGGCTGCTAATTTCTTATACGGACGAGCTTCTGGAACAACTAGCAATTTGTCATCCAAGGTTAGAGAATCTTAACATTACGAGTAATATTTACTGCTATCGTGTGTCTCACGAAGGGCTTCTAAACTTAGCCCGTAAGTGTCGTAATCTTAAGTCTTTGAAAATATTCCACTGCACTTTTTCTGATGACATTCTAAGAGAACTTGCAAGCGACAATCGAGCGGCCTTGGAAACACTGACCATAGTAAGCAACAGAGAGGACAGATATGGAGAATACGACAATATGACCACTGAAAGGGTTTGGCAAGAATTGGGCCCGAAATTCACAGACCTTCAAATGAACTTGATTTTCGAACCAGAGTGTTTCGTAGAAAAGATCGAAAACGTCATAAAGCGAGGTATGCCGGTAAATTATCTGTACATGCAGAACTCTGCCAGCTGTTTCCGTCCGCTGAATAAATCAGCAGCCTTCTTTAAGAATACACTGGACACCGTCGTCCTGAAGATGCCCTTCACCCCCGCTCTTGTTCGTGCCTTTAACTTCCTCGGTCAGAGAGCCCTCCGTCTGACATCCTTACAGGTCAGCTGTGAACTTCCGCCGGAAGTTATAGATGAAGTTTACCGACTTCAGCCTCAACTGAAGGAATACAACAGGTCGATATTAAAACCTCAACAAGACTGAGCTATACATGATACAGGAAATATTGACGTCATAGGCCTGAAACGTGACAGCAAATTGGAAGAATTTAGAAGTTTTTCAAGGCGAAAAAAAAATCGGAAAAAATGACTTGGATAGATCCTTTGAGAAGCAGTCAAGACTTTTGTTATCTAAGAACCAAAGCAATAACACTGATTTTCTTACTCAGTTGATTTCTAAGTTTATGTAATTTTCCAATATACTGTAATGAAGTAGGAGTATGCATCAACAGCTTCATTGTCCAAAATTACAATATTTGACGTTTGATATACTGTTAATACGGACCCAGTCTCTGGATAATATATTCTTTAAATTAACCATTAGTATCATTATGAGATTGATTTTAAATTATAATATGTTGGATATAGAGTAAAAATCAACGAGGGTTTATGTCTATTGTAAATATGCAAACTGCATGGATAAAATCCAACTCTTACATAAACTGTCTTTTTAAATATTAGACTTTATTAGCATTGATTCTGCGGTGTTTATAAGAATTAGAAATATCCGGCATAGTTATAGATTTTTAGGATAACAAAAAAAATTATCTTAGAACATGTTTATTTTTTTCTGCTTAAATACCAATCCTTAGTGTTTCGAATTCATGAAAGCCCCCCCCCCCCTTTCCCCACAAAATAGATTTTTCGAGTTTGATCAATTTTCCTCTTTTTTGCTTGTTAAGGTCATAGGCGCTTGGGTCAAGGATAATGTATATTTTCTATATAATGTATTGTCGAGGAAATTCGAACTATATTCGTAACATTTTTTTAAGCGCACAGTGGTAATTTTTAGTTTTTTGTAAATCTTTCTGCTTGATATACACTAGACTGTCACAGAAATTTGATATTATGCACGTCTTAAGAATGACATATCCCAACTGTATACTAAAAAAGAAGGACACAGACTACCAATTATTTTGCTATACATTCCTTTATAATGTAAAAATTAATTTAAAAAATCACACCGGCTCAACTTACCTGAAACTTGGCATAGAGTAACAACAATTCAAGTCCAAAAATTTTTCAGGCTCTCGGGAAAATTCATAGTCTGCAAGTCCTGCTATGGCATCGCAAATAACCCCTACCCTGCTTATTTCACTTTTCCTTCGAGGAAAGGGTAAACATGGGCCTCTTTACACCCTTCCTACTACGCGCTTAAAAGCAAAATTTCCCATTATTATCAATTTTATAATTTTTTTCAGACCCTCTCCTTTCCATCTATGCCCAAAAATAACCCCATTCCACCCCATATACATCCCAAAGAATTTTTAAGAAAAAAGCTCTATTTTTAAACTGGCACTACTTGCGTGGTCAATGAAATAGGGGTAAAATTAGTAGTCTGTAACCAGAAACAAGGCTTGCAACTGCATTCGCCCCTTTCCGTGCCCCCGACACGAATTTTTCCTTTTAAAAGTTATATGCAATGCTTACCAGCTGAATTGAGAACCCTCTTCTCTCAAAATAATTCTTATATAATGATAAAAATCCTCTGGTAACAACTTTTCGTCCATTTCATATTTTTAAATAATTATTTTCTTTCAAATTTCGCTCGTTTAATTCTCTAATCACGGAAGTTCCCGAATACTAACGTCCAAAACCCAAAACGGGCGACCAGTAAATTATTTTACAGTTCTTGAAAGACGCAAGGGTTAGAGTATATGCCAAATAGAAACTGTCTAAAAATTCCTTCCTAATCACTGACTTTATTATTTTCTTATTTGCTTCCTTAATCAAAGAAGTTATGGACTGGGGGGATGATGGGAAAGGGGGGGGGGGGGGGTAATTCTATTAATCATTATAGAGAATCTATTAAACAATATGGCAAGTTTATATGAACAAGATTGAAAAACTGTTTCTCTTTTTACTACATGTGATTCACTTAGAAGATCCAAAAGACCCAAAGGCTGTTTATACGCCAACGTATAAAGCGATTGAAACTTCTTTAAAAAGAATCTTGATCTGACACTTAATTAGTTAAAATATATTATTTTTACTTGTAAAAAATTCCACCTAATAGCAGATCAACAACAACAACAACAAAAAAGCAGTAACACCAGAAATCACTCTTTAATCAATGATATTTTATGGAAGAAGGACTGAAGCAGGTTCGTAGCACCCAAGTGTACCCCTAACTTAGTATGGATATTTTCATTGAAACCCTCCTCTTCCCTTTTACACACACGCACGCTGACACATTTTGCTTCCAAATGGTTATTGTATCCTTATTTTTTTTACTGTCAAGGAGAGAGAATGCACCCACACCATGCTCACGAAATACATTTTTTTTTTACGTCGAGACAGTTTTTCATTTTTATATTTTTTGCATGTCAGATTTTTCACGCAGTTTTGTTTTCGAAACGTTTTATTTTGTTTGCTTGTTAATTATTTTTTGGCTGCCCACTTTCAAAAACGAGGCTTCTTGTTTGTTATATAAAATTCACGGTACATATTATATAGCAATACATGTACAAATTCGTGTAGCAGGGGCGGATCCAGCAATTTTTGAAAGGGGGGTTCCAGGGTGTTGAACCCCCCCCCCCTTGCAAGCACACTCTCAAACATAGATTCACACACACGGAAAATTCTTAGGTCGTGGTAAATAATATTTTTGTTTTACGGTGAAAAAGTAAAAGGTTTACTGTGGCCTTATGCATAATGCCTATATTGACTTATTTAGTTCCTTCAAAAGCTAGATAATCCAAAAATGGTATGTATATAGCCAAAGATCGTCGGAATCGGATATCAAATTAAACCTTGCATGTTATCATATATTGAAATTGTAGTAGAATATTTTATTCCATTCACTCATAAATAAAAAAGGTGAAATGTAGGAATAGTGAAGGTAAATAGAAGGTAAATGGGGGAAAGGAAAATTTGTGAGACTCTATTTAATAGCAACTGGAATATGACCAACCGCTCGAATTGTTTTGAACAACATATTCAAAACGTGAGTTAAACGTACAAATATCTATTCCAGCAAACGTTTTATCCCCTCTCCCTCTCTCTCTCTTTCCACTTGGCAAAAAATTAAGGGGGGTTCCAACCCCAGGAACCCCCCCCCCTCTGGATCCGCCAATGTGTAGAATGAGATTTGAAATGCAATGTTACCCCTCCCCCTCCCCTAAAATGATATTTCATTAATGCTTATCATTTCCACAATGTTCTCTGGCTCGAACTTTTAATTTCCATTCTTATTAAATTTACCTGTGATTCAAACTTCTATCCATGTTGTGTACAAACGATTTTTTTTAATTTACTTTTTAACCTCTTTGCGTTTATCGACCTAGGGTCCGTTTTACAAAAGAACTTAGTACGATTAAGACCAACAGTTTTAGCTGTTTCTTACATCATGCTAAACCAATATTTTAGAGAAAAAAGGTGTCTTCTATAAACGTTTTTTAAGATTCACGTTATCTTGCAAACACATATTTTCATCTTGGTCGTAAATTCCTTTGATAATTATCAAAGGAATTTACGACCAAGATGAAAATATGTGTTTGCAAGATAACGTGAATCTTAAAAAACGTTTATAGAAGACACCTTTTTTCTCTAAAATATTGGTTTAGCATGATGTAAGAAACAGCTAAAACTGTTGGTCTTAATCGTACTAAGTTCTTTTGTAAAACGGACCCTAGGTCGATAAACGCAAAGAGGTTAAAAAGTAAATTAAAAAAAATCGTTTGTACACAACATGGATAGAAGTTTGAATCACAGGTAAATTTAATAAGAATGGAAATTAAAAGTTCGAGCCAGAGAACATTGTGGAAATGATAAGCATTAATGAAATATCATTTTAGGGGAGGGGGAGGGGTAACATTGCATTTCAAATCTCATTCTACACATTGGCGGATCCAGAGGGGGGGGGGTTCCTGGGGTTGGAACCCCCCTTAATTTTTTGCCAAGTGGAAAGAGAGAGAGAGGGAGAGGGGATAAAACGTTTGCTGGAATAGATATTTGTACGTTTAACTCACGTTTTGAATATGTTGTTCAAAACAATTCGAGCGGTTGGTCATATTCCAGTTGCTATTAAATAGAGTCTCACAAATTTTCCTTTCCCCCATTTACCTTCTATTTACCTTCACTATTCCTACATTTCACCTTTTTTATTTATGAGTGAATGGAATAAAATATTCTACTACAATTTCAATATATGATAACATGCAAGGTTTAATTTGATATCCGATTCCGACGATCTTTGGCTATATACATACCATTTTTGGATTATCTAGCTTTTGAAGGAACTAAATAAGTCAATATAGGCATTATGCATAAGGCCACAGTAAACCTTTTACTTTTTCACCGTAAAACAAAAATATTATTTACCACGACCTAAGAATTTTCCGTGTGTGTGAATCTATGTTTGAGAGTGTGCTTGCAAGGGGGGGGGGGGTTCAACACCCTGGAACCCCCCTTTCAAAAATTGCTGGATCCGCCCCTGCTACACGAATTTGTACATGTATTGCTATATAATATGTACCGTGAATTTTATATAACAAACAAGAAGCCTCGTTTTTGAAAGTGGGCAGCCAAAAAATAATTAACAAGCAAACAAAATAAAACGTTTCGAAAACAAAACTGCGTGAAAAATCTGACATGCAAAAAATATAAAAATGAAAAACTGTCTCGACGTAAAAAAAAAATGTATTTCGTGAGCATGGTGTGGGTGCATTCTCTCTCCTTGACAGTAAAAAAAATAAGGATACAATAACCATTTGGAAGCAAAATGTGTCAGCGTGCGTGTGTGTAAAAGGGAAGAGGAGGGTTTCAATGAAAATATCCATACTAAGTTAGGGGTACACTTGGGTGCTACGAACCTGCTTCAGTCCTTCTTCCATAAAATATCATTGATTAAAGAGTGATTTCTGGTGTTACTGCTTTTTTGTTGTTGTTGTTGTTGATCTGCTATTAGGTGGAATTTTTTACAAGTAAAAATAATATATTTTAACTAATTAAGTGTCAGATCAAGATTCTTTTTAAAGAAGTTTCAATCGCTTTATACGTTGGCGTATAAACAGCCTTTGGGTCTTTTGGATCTTCTAAGTGAATCACATGTAGTAAAAAGAGAAACAGTTTTTCAATCTTGTTCATATAAACTTGCCATATTGTTTAAT